AAAATACTAAATACCCCACCACAATGTATTTTTTTTTATCCACATACGTATTGACTCACCAAACCTGCATTAATTCAGTGGACCTGCTTTAGAACTTACTGCTGGATTCCAGCCATTATGTTTCTCTAGAATCTCCTAAGTAGAAAGGAGGTGAGCTTTTTTAAAGAAATTTTTTGATAAGAGATGATAGCTAACATAAGGATAGGTGGTTAAGAGGGGCTGTACTTAGGATATGCTCTCCATTTTCGCTTCCCTGACATTTCTAGCTAAAGCTGCCAGTGTAGCTACGGATACTATTCTGTCCATGAGGCAAGGGGCAAAAGTCAAGCTCTCTGAATTTGTACCAGGCCTGGCCAATCTTGAGGTCTCCATACTATCTGACACTTGCAGTCTCCAATCTTGCATAGCCTGTTTGACTTCCTCTCCTTGATGTCAGCAATAATGTCCCATGTTAGCCCAATGACTTAAGAGTTCTATTCAGTTCTATAAAATATTTGGCACGTATATGCAACAGTGGAACAGGCTAATCCCACTCCTTCTGTCATCACATCATTCACAGAAAGACAACCATCTGAGGAGAGAGAGTCTTCACATTAGTTAGAAACACCTACCCCCCCCCGAGTCAGAATTGTGGCTCACATGGGCAGGCTACCCAGATAGAGTAGTCTCACTTTTTTAGATTGTGAGGTTTCCATGATAAAAGCGATGGAGGGAGCAGGGCAGATGTGCTTGTTGTCATTTTAAAGCCTCACATAGACATGCCTGAATATACCTTCTGTTTCAACCTCAAATTATGAAGTCCTGGCTTTCTGAGACTTTCACTGTCTGGTGTGGGAGAAATAAATCTTTTGCCTGTGTTTATCGAAATATTAACAGGTGACTTCCAAAATAGATTTTCTCACAGGGTATTGCCTTCATACTTTGCTAACGTGATGTCTGGCTGTTAATCTGAATGTATTTTGCTTTTTGTAATTGTACTTTTGCTGGAGGTTAGTACTGTGAAAGAGTAGAATGCTTTCTTAACATGTGAACATGTATTCCTTAAGATACTAAATAGTGGCTGGCATTCTGTTTATCTCTGCGTAACGCAAAGTTATGCAGGTGTAACATTGCCAGGCATATAGCGCTGGTAGCAAGAACTGTGTGAGTCAATTGCACAATTGGTAATGTGGTCCCTGTTGCGTCCAGTTGCACAGTGTGCCAGTGGAACTGCTTCATGGATAGTATTTCTGCCTTTCCATGATTACAACCACAGTAGATATAACTTGACATTATACTTTTGTAGTTCCTCGTTAGGATTTCAGCCAATAAATCCTTGTTCAGAATTGAAAGAGAGCGAGTGTGTGCTCTGAGGCAGCGGTCCTCAAACGTTTTGGGACCGCGGATTGGTTGGGGGGTGAGGGCTCCATGCACAGGGGGGCGGGGCTCCCCGGTACTTGCACAGGGGCGTGTTGAACTTGTGGAGGGGCATGTCGTGCTCATAGAGGGGCATGAGCATGACACGCCTAGCCGCAAACATGACACGCCCACCATGCATGTGTGCGGGGGGGCAGAGATCCGTGTCAGCGGCCCAGTTCAAGGAAGTCCATGGACCAGCACCAGCCGCAGACCGGGCGTTGGTGACCCCTGCTCTGAGGCATAGCTAGAAACTAGCCAAACATTTTTGTAGTTTAGTGTACGTATTCATCTTGCATACATATTTTGATTACCCTAGCATCAAGTACTGTAATTATTTGCATACATGGAACAGCTACTGAAGATCAAACAGGCAAGCTTTCTGAATCTCTGGTGCAATATCCAACACAGTATACTTTGCCTACATGCTGTTGAGAGTCATTAAAATGTAGCTTTGAAAGTTTATGCACATATAACTCAGTCTTACATTTCTAGTATCTTCTGGCTTACCAACTAAATACGGATTCGAGAAGAATGAAGAACTAAATGTTACCCTAAAATGCACAATAGCTGTTAGTGAATGCACCTGTTTATCTAGTTCCCCATCCCAATATGTAATAGAACTTCTCCAAGTCTTGCTCTAATTATGTTCTATGTTTTCTCCCTGATCCTCCATTTCATTTGCTGCTAATTAGGGTAGAAAATCTGGTCATCATTATGTCACAACACAAAGTAAGTTCTCTTTGATCACTGGTTCCCAACCTTAGATTCTCATATGTTCTTGGACGAAAACTCCCAGAAGCCTTCACCATTAGCTGTCCTGGCCAGAATTTCTGGGACTTGTAGTCCAAGAACATCTAAGGACCCAAGGTTGGGAATCATTTTATTAGATGTTATAGGGGAGAGGCGTGAGATATGTGTCAGCTGTGCTTCCTACGGTTGAGTCTCACTCAACTCAGGTCCTTATAAAAAAAGACACTCACTTGACTCGTGATTCTATACCATTTTTCTGAGTCATGTTTCATCCGTACCTGCCACCGCCACTGTCTGCCCATTTGTGTGCTGTTGCTGCGCCCACCACCCACCTACCTACCTAGCTACCTATCACCACCTGCTGCCATTGACACCTGCCTCTCTGCCTGCCACTACCATCATCCAGCTTCCCTTCCAGGAGCTAGTTGCTGCTTCTGCGCATGTGTCAGAGTATTCACACAGTTGCTGATTGGTTAGCAGCTCAGGGAGGCATGGAAGCCCAAGCCAGGCTACTTCTGCAATTGGTACAGAGAGAAGAATGACAGCAGTTCGTGCCATGCTGTAAATAGACTCCCGGTTGTGGCAGGGGAGGGTTTAATTGAGCTGGCCAGCTGTGATCGTGGGCTTTGTATTCGTCTCCCCCTTGGGAGATGAAACCCCCGTCTGTTGTCTGAAGACTTGCTTGCCATCATCCTTGGTGATAGGTGACTTGGTTCTAAGTAGCTTACATGTGTGAGTGGAGCAAATTATTGGCTAGGTCTCATCGTAGGGCTTTGAATCATAAAGAATTCCCATAGGAATTACTTTATCCACAGCATGCTTCAGAAAAAGATTAGAATCCTATAGCTGTCAACTGCATCATCAAGAGCCACATTAGTTGTGGCAAAAACTCTGTTTAGCTTCACATTGGGACAGACACTAAACCTCATAATTCAGGCTTGAAAAGCAGAGTTCAATTGGTGTTTGTAATTCCAGAGGGGAAAATGTATCTGTAGTTACTAAAGCACAGAAATAGCAGCAGTTCTAAATATTCAAGGGAAGAGACTCGGTGAGTGTAGTGTGGCTTACTTCTAAGTGACTCAGTTCAGACACAGTATTCTTTATCTGTAAAACATATTTTGGAAACCAGGAATGTGTAGCAGCTTCTTCTCTTCTGCTTCCTCTTGCATTCAAAATTCACTCCCTCTTTTCCGTGGTTTTCTATTAGTGTATTTATTATTTCATGTGAGTGGAAGCTACAGAAGTGGTTTCTGTGCTTTACTGCCAAAATATAATCTAGATTTATGGCTGTATTACACCATAGTTTCTAGTAACCAATTATCCAAGAAGGCACCAGAATTCTAACTGGCCCCCAAACAGATGTAACACTAATCTATGGTTATTGCAAAACTAGAGATAACAAGGAGAAATCTACCTTTTTCACATAAGAAGAAAAGGAATAGAATTATGATTGGGTATTGGGAGTATTGTCAAGCTACTGTAATGTGCTGTACGTGGGGCTGCCTTTGAGATTGATGCGGAAATTACAAATGGGCCAGACTTCTCACTGGGGTGAGAAAATGTCAACATATCTCCCCCACTCTGGCTACCTGTTTGATTCCGGATTGATTTGAAAGTACAGTGGTGCCCTGCATAACGAGCGATTTGTTTAACGACGAATCCGCATAGTGACGCGTTTTTTGCGATCACATAATGATATTTTAGATGGCAAAACATCGGTTTGTGATGATCAGTGAGCGTTTCCCTTACCGATTTTCGCATAGCGATGTTTTTTCTAACAGCTGATCGGTGGTTCCAAAATGGCTGCCGGGTAAAGAAAATGGCCGCCTGCAGTGTTTTTGCGCCCTTTCCTCGCTTACCAGGCAGCAGAAATGGTGGCCGCATGGAGGATTTCCGGATAACAGTGAGTTTTTTTGCCCATAGGAAGGCATTAAACGTGTTTTAATGTGTTCCTATGGGCTTTTTTTGCCCCACATAGCGGCGAATCTGGATCGCGCCGATTTTTTCGGAACGGATTATCGTCGCTATGTGGGCCACCACTGTATTAACAATGACATATAAAGCCCTAAATGGTTTGGGACCGCAATATCTGGTGGAATGCCTTGTCCCACCTAGATCTACCCATATCACTTGTTCTAGCTAGGAGTGGCAGTTGAGGGGCCTTACGCCGAGGGAGGCCTGGGGAGAAAGAACAAGAAACCGGGCCTTCTCGGCAGTGGCCCCTCACCTCTGGAACAATCTACCTCCAGAAATTTGCCTAGCTCCCATGCTGGGTGTTTTTAAGAGCAAGCTCAAGACCTCTCTTTAGGCAGGCCTTCCCTCCTGTCATTAATTTATTTTTGTTATCTTGTATTATATTATGTTGTTGTTATCTTATACGGCTATTGTTTTTATGAAATTGTTTTATTAATTTACTGTTAGCTGCCCAGAGTAGACTTCAGTCTAGATGGTTGGGATATTAATTAATTAATTAATTAATGGAAAGGAGGAAGGAAGGCACATTAAGACAGAAGCTGTAATAACTACTTATCCTCCCAAGATTTTACTCATTTAATTAGAGCATTAGTTTTTTCATACTAAAGCAAACTGTCTCGCAATTAAGATATGTATCTTTATATAGCATAAATGTCAGAGTAGAGAAATAAAAATATCTTTAATTATTTAAAAATCTGTGGATGCATTAGCTGCTTGATTAGGCTGCCAGTAGTCTTACGGTTATGCAAAGAGTTTGTAATAAAATGCTGAATCAGATTCGTTTCAGGTTTTTGGAAACCTAACAAGCTTTTCTGTGACTGAAAATGTAACCACAAGGTCATCTTTTCTCCCTTTTTCTGCAACACCCCATTCCCCAGACAGGGAGAAATGTGACTGTGATTCTTCTTACTGAAATTGTGTGGGAGCTGCTTCGTCCAAGTGCAGGATGCTTTGAACCATTGCCGTTGTATTTTCCGGACTACAGCATAGGTAATATGCAGTATGTGCATGTGTTGTTGTTAGGTCTGTCAGTGTCTGTTATTACCCATGATTCTAAGTGGTGTATCGGTAAACAGAGATGGTACATCTGAGCTGCCTAGTTTACTGTTGTGAACTCCCAGAGATATATTTGGCTGATAGAATAGGTGTGAAAGATGGTTCTTAAACTCTGTTTCTGCTTTTTTTTGAAAAATGAATGGTCAACAACTTTATTTACACTACAAGAAGTGAACTAAACTGCTTGAAAAAATAGATTTCTTTTTCAACAATATGGTGCTATTCAGTTTCATGAGCTTGAAAAAGAAGACCTTGCAGGAAGAACTCGTATACAAAAGAATTTATGCACAGCAAATTGCATTGTTAAACTATGATAATTTATAAGTTGATATGTTCTGATGTACCAGTATAAAGTTTTCAAACTCCTAAGAAATCATGATGTATCAGAAGACACCCCAGTCAATATATTTGGGTTTTAATGTAAAATGTTAGAACATACAACTTCAGTTCCAAATTAGAAGTGTGATATTGTATCAGTACCAGTAATCTGGTAGCTAATTTTCCAGGGGAATTTTCGCAATTTAGTCCCTGTGGATATAATTGCCCATACTTGGAAAAATGTCATAAGGATCAGCAGAGCCATATGGCATCCTGGTGTCTTACTAGAAAGGTTTTGTGTATACAGTGGGGTCTTGACTTAAGAAAGGTTTTGTGTATAGATCCCAATGGCCAAAATCCTGTTGCTTAGCATAATAAATCCCACCACAGTAGTCCTATTGACTCAATTAGGATTTGGTGAGTTCACTCCTCTGTAAATTCCATTGATTCTAATGAGCCTTCATTAGTACTATATAGTAAATCGCAGTAAGAGTAAGCCCATTTGAATCAGTGGAACTTATGAAGGAGTTGACTCACCAAATCCTCATTGATTCAGCCTACTCTAGTGCAATTTACTATGCTAAGCAGCAGGATTTTGACCAGTGGTTTTCCCTGCCTTTTCACTTGATGCATTGTGTCAGTGGTGCAGTAGAGTTCTTGATCCTTCCACAACTGGGCTACTGGGCCAAGGTGATTAAAGTAAAAGAGAGCTGCTGTCTAAATGTGTAAATTAGTTGAATATTTTAGTTAAAAAGTATGGAAGATAAAATTTCCAGCCTGGAAATCTGCTTTATCAGAGTTCCCTAGGTGTCTGTATGGAAAAGAACTTAATTTTCAATACTTGTTTTTTATTGTTCTAGTTACTGGCTGTGTACTGTCAAATTGCCTTTTATATTCGAAAAGTATTTTTATATTGCTTTTTATACTCATGGGGTCAGATAGAATGGATTTTAGAAGAAAAAAGAAACCTTTAGGCCTTGCTTGGTGCTGTGTTAACTAGACCCTAATTACAATGATAAATAATGCCTCATTTTGCTGCCTTGTCAAAGATTATTAAACTGAAATATCAGCGAAGATTAAAATTGCATTTAAAAACATTAATGCCATAAACAACATTATTGAAATATACTATGGTGTACAACATAAAACAAGATGCACAACTGTATAGCTGTACGCAGTAAAATGGAAACCTATCATAGGAGAGGTAAATGTTACTACAGGGCATCTGGAATTAATACTTCACCAGTATTGTCCACCATAAGAAAGAAGAAAAGAATGTCAGCCTTGTTAACATCTCATTCTTCTATTCACAATACAGTATTCACAATAAAATTCATGATTGTGCGCTAGCTTGAAATTCATTTTCCAAGCCATAACAAAGATAATTCATATTTCAGTGCTATTCACTCTAAATCTGACAGTGTTTGTAGGTTTTAACATGTAAAGTTAAATACTCCCAGGACCTAATTTCTTAAAGCAGAAAGATTAACTTTCTTCTTCATAACTTTCTTCCTCTGTTATTGCACACAAATGAATTTTACTGCGCCTGTGCAGGACTCCTCGGAATATTCTAGAGCTTAAAAAGCTTCTGTTATTGCACACAAATGAATTTTACTGCGCCTGTGCAGGACTCCTCGGAATATTCTAGAGCTTATAAAGATGTTATTAGTAGGACGTTGCCCCGTGGCGTGCATGCTCCGCCCACCCGTAATACCTCAGTTCCTTTTAGCCACAGATGAGATCAGACTTCTTATGACTTAGAGCTTTGTGATTTGTGATTCTATCTACGGTATTTTGATCTTTGGACTGCTAACTGTTTTCAATTCTTGGATTATGGATTTAATCAAGTTCGTTAGTTATGGACATTCCCTGTGAGTTATCTTTTCTTTCTCTTATCCTCTCCTTTCTCTCCTCCCTTCCCTCCCTTTTTAATGGCCTCCTCAGGCCCATTCCCCTTTCCCTCCTCCCTTCCCTCCCTTTTTAATGTCCTCCTCAGGCCCATTCAAGCACTGAATGACGTGTGCCAATAAAATTCCTTTTATGGATGGCCACGATCACTGCTTGTTCTGCTTGGGCGAGAGTCACCAAACTCACACTTGTCCAGAGTGTAAAAATTAACGAAACCGGCCTTAAAACTCCAGCTTCAATGACTGAGGTCCCACTTGTGGGAAAAATCTTTGGCACCTTCCAGTCTTCCAACCAGCCCCACAATGGAACTTACCTCAGTTCTGCTGTCTTGATCTGAGTCTTCTATCCCGTTGGCTCTTATGACTTCCTTGCCATGGTCATCTACCAAGGCTTCCAAACCTAAATCATCATCAGTATTGACCTCAACCTCGATGTCGAAGTCTTCTTCGGTGTCGGCGAAGACTCAATCTGCTGAAAAGCAAGAGGATAAGGACAGAGTCAAGCAAAAGAAAACAAAGTGGGCTCCTAAATCTCATCAGCCTCATGAGCCGCTGGTTGTCCACATCTCACTCCCATCTCCCATCCTGGAGGAATCATCAAGGGACATCCCAGACCAAGGCTCCATTTCTCCCCCCCCTACTTAATTTATTTTATTTTTTAAAAGTACAAAATAGATAAACACAAAATAAACAACAACAAAAATAAAAAACTACCAAGCTAATACACCCCCCCCCCAATTAGGACAGAGATCCCATCGTCGTCTGGATCTCGTGTATCTCCAAGAGGATTCCGTTGAGCACTGAGTTCAGAAAATACTAAGTTTCGCCCTAAGCTCCTGTCTTTTTCTGGGCCCAATCATATATCAGCTTCCAGCTTTGCTTTACAGTTTACATAGTCTCTTTTGGTTGTTCCCGTAATGCTTCTGAGCGTGTATCTAGTTCTGCAATATCCAACAGCTCCTCCATCATTGGGATTTCTTCATTTTTCCATTTTTGAGCCCAGAGTAGCCTAGCTGCTGTAAATATATACATTTGACAATATTTTATTTTCTTATCAATAATTTCCGGCATGATATTCAGTAATACTATTTCAGGTTTAAAATTTGATTTTTGTTGAGCAGTTTCTTTTGCCATTTCCTGCACCCGTATCCAGTATATTTTGACTTTTTCACATGTCTACCACATATGGTAATACTGTAGGTCCCTGGATTTTTTCTAGACTTCCAACAAACATTGCTATTACCCTCTGATATTTTTGCCAGTCTTACAGGGGTATGCCATCTATAAAACATACAAGGCTCCATTTCTGAAGTAGGGGACTCTGTTCTTCCTACTCGGGCTCAAGCTTTGGTCTCCATACTGAGCTTATTGCTAAGTCATGGCTGGTCTGAGAGTGACATCATATCCAGCCCAGTCTCGGCCCATACTAGCCTTGTTTCGACCGGGCGGGCGACTGTGATCCATCTATTGAATTCGGAGGCATCGGTATCACAATCTCCTCTGTGGAAGAGGACAACAAAGCGGTGTCACATCTCTCCATCCCCGCAATGCCAGGAGGTAATCTTTGTCCCGCGCCCATCACGACGCCATGCCTTTCCTGAATATGGAGAGCCCCTTTATGAAATTGATCGATATGGTGATCGCCACCAATAACAATTCAACCAGTATGCCCCAAGGTTTGTTTCTGAGTATTATGAACATCCCAAATGCATTCAGCATGCTTATGCCCCTTTCGAATCATCTCCGTTGCCGCCTCCTGTTCGGAGTCGACACCGAGCCAGTTGCGAGCTCACTCCGATGGTGCCAAGGTCTAAGAGATCTTCCAAACACAATTTATCTATTGCTGAAGTACCACGTTGTGACCCGTTCCAGTCTCAACACAAGTCTACTCAACATGAGTCTGTTCCATCTAAACAGCGCTTTTCTATGGTACCGACAGCTTCGACCTCACACCAGTCTGTTTATCTGGATCCCACTCCGACCATCAGGTTCCAGCACCAACCTCTCCCCCCCCCCTTGTTTCTGTTTCTCGACGTCATCAATGTCTCCCTCTCCAACTCTTTCCATCTCGGAAGACTCTTCAGCATCGACAGTTTCTGATCATGTTCCCTCCTCTGAGTCATCCAGGGAGTCCACATCAAACCTGCCAACCCCAGATTCTGATGTTTCGGATTTTCATCCTCCATCTCCATCTGAGGACTTTACCTCTTATGCACAGCTCATCCTTCGCAAGTCCAAATCATTGGAACTGGACTTTGAATAGCCATCTCCTCCCAAGCATGACCTTGTCTTTGATGACATTTATCAAGAAAAGTCTCCTCCATTAAGTTTGGCATTCATCCCGGCCATGTTGGACCTTATTAAGGAATCTTGGGACAAACCATCAACGTCCTTATTAAGACGGGTGGAGACTACTGCACTCACAGCACTGATACAGTGTTCCTAATCAAACATCCTCCACCAAATTCCATTATTGTGCAATCAAATCAGTCCCGAGCAGGCAATCAGTCCTCAGTTACTCCTACTAACAAGGAGGGAAGAAAACTTGACATACCGGGTTATTGTTTATTTTCTCTGGCTTCCTTCATTATGAGGGTCTCAAATCATGGGGACAGACAGGAAATTAAAGGAGGATCATGGGGACAGACAGTTGTTCACATATGAATAATTGTTTAGATTTTAATTTTCTAAAATGATGTAACTGTCCAGTTTAAAAGGAAAATAATAATATTAGCTACTGCTTTTTTAAAATTTAAACAGGACATCTGCAAAAGATCTTGTCCCTTGACCATCCTCCAGAATATTCTTTTGATTTTTATGCTGCTTTTATAAATATATTACTCGGCGTCTTCTATCCTGTCTGCAGGGACCTGAAAGAGCTCCGCCATCTGGTAAGGAATGACTTAGGTCTTTTTCATGATACAGG